GAGGCGGGCGCGCGGCTGCGACAGGTACGCGCCGGCCGGGCCGCGCCGCGCCCGCCCGCTGCTGTCGCGCCCTGGACCCCCTCGGAGGGCTCCCCGGTGCCCTCCCCGGTAGGGGAGCGGCTGGGGGAATTCGGCGGGAGCTCGCCCGAGGGCGGGAGAGGACGTGCGAGTCAGCGCAAAGTTCATTTGCAGTTAGGAGCTAGGCCAGGCCCTTAACCTTTTCCCTGAAGATCGGGGCAGAGCAAGATGTTGTGACGGGAAGTGCCAGAGATGTTGAAAGCAAAACTGAAAATATGCTATCAAAGCTTTCCAGTAAAAAACACACGGAAACCGAGAATAGCCCGTACGTGTAGGAAGTAACAGACCGAATGTACGCAACCCCGGCTCTGTGTGTGAGGGGAGAAAAGAACGGAGACAGTGTGTTTAGAGAATGAAATGGCTTTCAGGGCATAGGTTTTTTGTTTGCTTGTTGTTGTTCTTTTAAGTAATAAAGACTTGGACAGATGGAAAGCCGACAGGAAGTGAGCTTTATTTATCAATTTGGAATAACAACAAGAGTCCTCTTTTAAGCTGGAAATAAGTAGTTAATGACACCGGAAAAACTCATTATTTGAGTGGTAATCCTATAGAACCTAAGGGAAGGGGGAAATTCAAGTTAAAAAAAAAAAAGGTTTTAGGAGAAAATATGGCTTATATATCCATGGTCACAGGTTACTAAGGAAAGCCAAGATTTGATACTTTATTCTACATATCTCTAGACATGTCCTCTTGCCCATTCCCATTACAGGCCACTGTTAATCTGAATGGTTTTTCTGTGCATTCTTTTGAGGAAGGGGAGGTGTAAGAGAAAAATTCAGCCACATTTCAAAATCTTAATTATGTTCTCTTAAGCTGTATATAAAATGAGCTTTTTAAATTAAAATGGTTTATAAAGAGAGTTTGTTAGTGGGATCATTTTATACTGTGGGTTTTATGTGTGACTGTCTACACACTCACTTCTCATGTGTTTGTTTCACTTTATAATAGGAGGAAACCACAGGGGACTTTCAGGCCTGTCAGCTTATCTTCAACTTTGTCATATTTGTATCAAATGAACTTTTGTTTTTTAGATACTTGGTTTCTCACGGAGTGGTTTCTCCATAAACCACTAATATTTATATGCTATATATGCTATATGTAGTTACTATTAGAAAGTTATACTTTTCCCAAATTAAAGTTCACTCAGAACCTTTACATTCAGAAAAGTTACATGAAAAGATATTCACAACGTATAATTCAAAAATAATTGCTGTTAACATTTGATGACTCTTTCAGGTCCTTTTTCTCTACAGCGTGCTTAGTACATAGTACAAAATTTTCCACTCTGTTTGTCCCCCCATTTAATATTATGAAAGTCCCCCATATTATTAAACATTCTTCAAAAACCAAGGGCTGAATGACTACAGTAATAATATTCTACCATGGATATACCATAATTTATTTAACCACTCTTATTTTATTGGGCATTTTTCTTGGAGGACAATAACATTTTCATATTTAATCAGTATTTAAAATTGATGTGGAGAACACTAAGGTTTCTTTTGTTTAGTTTTGTTTGTTTAGTATGATCTTATAAATACTGTCCAGACTTTAGCTTTATTTGTATTTTGCCTTCTAGGTTCTTCAAGAACACGGAAAAGCCAACACCATGGTAGCATTAATGAAAGCTTATGATGAGGAAGATGAAACATACCAGGAATTCGTTACTGCAGCAACCATGTTCTTCCAGTATTTACTGCAGCCATTTAGGGATATGCGAGAAGTCGCAACTTTATGTAAGCTTGATATTTTGGTATGTTTTCTTTATATTTTTATTTTTAACAAATTTACTATATGTCATATAATACTTCTTTTGGCACATTAAGGTTCAATCTGTTTACACTTTGGGTTTGTCCTTATGTTTAGATGATATGGGAGATATACTGAATTGATATTTAAAATTGATTAAAAACATGAAGACACTTACGTTGGTCATCTTAGTACTTTAAGATTTCCACAGATTTTAAAAGTTTACACACAGGGCTGGCCCGGTGGCGCACTGCTACAGTGCGCCGCTTGGGAAGTGCGGCGGCGCTCCCGCCGAGGGTTCGGATCCCACATACAGACCGGTTCCCGCTCACTGGCTGAGCGAGGTGCAGGGAGCAACACCGAGGGTTGCGATCCCGTTGCGGGTCCCCGGCCGGTACGGGAGCAACACTGAGGGTTGCGATCCATTGCCGGTCATGAAAAAAGACAAAAAGGAAAAAAAAAAAAAGTTTACACACTTTTTCTGCTGGTCAGTTGTTTCTGATGTGATGTTTATTGACTTCAGCTGTTTTCCATCTTTAAGGACACATGCAAATTTCTTAGAAACAGGATGGAAATTTAAATAGCAGGGCCCTAGATTGTAATTTAGTAATTTAAACTTTAGTAAATGCTGTCATCATTCTTATTTCTTTGAGCCATTGAACAACCCTGTGACACTATTTAGAAAAGGCATTATTATTATCCCAATGTTACAGATGAATCTAGAACCCAGAGGAGTTAAATAGCTTGCCTTGGGTCTCAACAAGTGGAATCTGAAGACATCAGAGAGATCTCTCAATCTCTGCCCCCTGCACTGGGCATCTTTCCACACATAGTCTCATGACCCCCGACAGGTTACTGTGGTAAACATGGTATCACATTTAGATGAAATTCATGACACTCTTAACCCGTGGATAAAGTTGTTCTGTTCATTGTTTTGAAAATCTAATATTTGGATAGTCTTTATTTTTATATGTATACGTTCTGGATAGTCTTTATTTTTATATGTATACGTTCTTTCTTTCTTTCTTTTTTTTTTTTTCTTTTTGTCTTTTTTTCGTGACCTGTAACGGGATCGCAACCCTCGGTGTCGCGCCCGCACTGCGCTCAACCAGTGAGCAGACCGGTCTCTATATGGGATCCGAACCCTCGCTCCCAAGTGCTGCACTCTACCAAGTGTGCCACTGGGCCGGCCCTACGTTCTTTCTTTCTTTAAATAGTACCTTTATTGCAATATAATTCACAAGCCATACACTTAAAGTATACAATTCAACAGTTTGTATTTTTTTATTATTATTTTTTGGTGGATGGCTGGTATGGGGATCCAAACCCTTGACTTTGGTGTTATAACACCCACTCTAACCAGCTGAGTTAACTGGCCAGCCTTCAGTGGTTTTTTGTATATTCAGAGTTGTGCAACTGTCACCACTATCTAATTACACATTTTCATCAGCCCAGAGAAACTCCATACCCATTAGCAATCACTCTCCATTTCCCCCTAATCCTAGGCAACCAACAATTTACTTTCTGTCTCTGTGGATTTCCCTATTATGGGCATTTTATATAAATGGAATCGTATAATGTGGTCTTTTGTGTCTGGCTTCTTTCACTTAGCATAATGTTTTCAAGGTTCATCCATGTTGTAGTATGTATCAGTACAGATGATCCCTGATTCAATGATATTTTCACTTTATAGTAGTGCAAAGATGATATACATTCAGTAGAAACCATACTTCGAATGTTGAATTTTGACTCAAAATTCTTTATAACTTTATTATAAAATAGTCTTTGTGTTAGATGATTTTGCCAACTGTAGGCTAATGTAAGTGTTCTGAGCATGATTAAGGTAGGCTAGGCTAACCTGTGATGTTTGGAAGGTTAGGTGTATTAAATGCTGTATTAGTCTGGTTCTGTTGCTTATTACAAAATACCTGGAAGTGGGTAGTTTATAAGGAAAGAGGTTTATTTGGCTCATGATTCTGGGACAGCTGCATCTGATGTAGGCCTCAGGCTGCTGCTTCTACTCATGGCAGAAAGTGGCAGGGTAGCCAGTGGGTACAAGCAGATAACATGGCGACAGAAAGCAGGAGAGAGAGAGAGAGAGCTCCAGGTTCCTTTAAACAACCAGCTCTGGCAGGAACTAATACAGCAAGAACTCACTCACTAACCCTCCCCTTGCCCAGGGTGTTCACCTATTCATGAGAGAGCCACCCCACCATGACCTAAATAGCTTCCAATACTGCCACATTGGGGATCAGATTTCGACATGAACTTTGCGGGGACAACATATCAAAACTCTATCAAATGCATTTTCAAACTTAACAATATTTTCAACTTACAATGGGTTTATTGGGATGTAACCCCATCATAAATCAAGGAGCATCTGTATTTCATTTCTTTTTATTGCCACATAATATTTATTATCTGGATATACCACATTTTACTTATCCATTTAGCAGTTGATAGTTGGGTTAGTCCTGTTTTTTGACTGTTATGAATAATGCTATTATGAACATTTGTGTACAAGTTTCTGTGTGGCAAGGCTCCCTTGGCCCCCAACTGCCTGGCTTGAGAGCCTGAGGCACTTCTGGTGGCAGTCTGGTGGTTGTTGCTAGGCTGGATGTGGATGTCGGTGGCAGGGAGGGGTGTGGCTGAGGCCCTCAGCTGCCCCACACCCTGGATTGGAAGCCCAGGGGACTGGTGGTCATCACTGGGCTGGATGACAATGTCAGGGGGACATGGCTGAAGCCCTTCCCCACCCTGGCTTGGGAGCCTGGGGGGCTTCTGGTTTTATAGGTGTTCTTGGTGGTGTGAGACCTTTACTGCTTAATATCAGTACTGTTTCTGATCTGTGGTTTTTTTGTTTTTTCTTTCAGTTCTGTGTTGGATAATTAGCTACCCCCACCACTTAAACTCTGCACTGGAACTAATTTGTTGTCCTTTGCTAACTTCTAAAAAGGGGAAACTTCCTGTGGGGACCAGCACTTGAGCCCTGTAGTTGAGCTAAATTGCTGCTTTGCTGCTGATTCTCTGGGGAAGGCTTTTTGTGAAGTTCAGGTTTTAATTGTTGACCTTGTATGTACTTCCAGGTCTTGTGAGGTCTGGTACACCTGGGTTGTATGGAAACTCTGGTCTGGGCCTGAGTCTTTTCAGCAAACTGCACCCCTGCAGTTCCACACTCTTGACCAGTCTCCACTGTGTGGGCCTGTGCTGACTGGAGGGCAGATAAACTGTCCATGCTGTGCCCCAATGTTCCCCTGGTGGGCCCGTCTCCCTCACCCCCCACACTCCAAACACTTTCCATGGGATGGGCTGTGTGCCAGTCCCTTGTGATGACTCACAGACCCCTGAGTGGCTCCTTCCTTCAGCTGTCTGTGGTCCCTCCCTTCTTTGTGGGCCCATGGGATCCCTGTCAGTGGTCTTGCTGGCCTGGGGGCCATCAAGGCCCTCTTCTCCCCTGAAGCCTCCAAGCAACTCTATACAAAGGGCACAGCAGTGGATCTTGCCAGTTCCTACTCTATGCTCACCACGGCCAGCCTTGAAGTGGTCAGGGTTTGAAATGGTCATAGCATTCCTTTCTTTCTCTCATTGTGGCTTCTCTTACCTTCATGCACTCCGTAGGTCTCTCCTCTTCCCCTGAGCTCTAGCAGCCTCAGCTTGGTAGTCATTGCTTTTTAATAGTTGTAAATTGGTTAATTGTGGGAGAGGGTGGTGCTGGATACCATTTATTCCTCCATCTTAACCAGAAGTTCTCTTATTTCACTAAATCATGCTTTGTAAAAGAAAATTGGATGCCAGATGGCATAGTAGTACATGTTTTAGTTTGGGCTGCTGTAACAAAGTACCATAGATGGGGTGCCTGGCTTATAAGCAGCAGAAATTTATTTCTCAGGAGGTTGGGAAGTCCAAGATCAAGGTGCTGGTAGATCCAGTATCTGGTGAGGGCCTGCTTCCTGGGTTATAAATGGCTGTCTTGCTGTGTCCTCATATAGTGAAGCGGTGACAGAGAGAGAGAGAGCGAGCAAGCATGCAAGCACGTAAGCAAGCCTGTGTCTTCTCTTCTTTTTATAAGGGCATTAATTTCATTCATGGCCTAATTACCTCCCAAAGGCCCCATCTCCAAATACCATCAAATTGGGAGTTAGGGCTTCAACATACGAATTTTGGAGGGACACAAACATTCAGTCCATAGCACTACATGTCATAATTAAGAATACACAGATTTTACTATCTTTTATTTGATTAGATTACTTCTGCCCTTCAGAAAACCACCATGGTATTGAAAAGCTTCCTGTTGTATCCTGTAAAGAAACCATATCAACAGCTAACACTTGAGTGCTGTGTACCAGGCACCATGCTGAGTGCTTAACAACACAGATCCCATTTAAACAACTGTGTATTATTACTACTAGAGAGAAACATAGTTTGACAGCACTCCTCTCTAGAGAAAGTTACTGTAGTAATGCAACATGAAGGTAGGTTGTTGTTGTTTTTTATGCTCCAGAGTATCCTTTTGTCTTTTAGGTGGTACCCAGCTTAGAGCCTTATTCACACACAATAAGGGACTGCTGAATGAATGAAAATTTAATTGACTAAGTAGTAGTAATAAATGTAGTTAAAACAATTCATGTGATCGGTTTCCTGATAGCTTTACATTACTATTATCTCTTACTAACATAATTTTCCCTTCTTTCTGTAGAAGTCCTTGGATGAGGATGACCTGGGTCCTAAAAGGATAGTTGCCCTGCAGAAAGAAGCCAAAGAATGGACCAGACAGGCTGAAGAAGCTGTTGCCTCTATTCAAGATATCACAGTGAATTATTTTGAGGAAACAGTGAAAGCATTAGCAGGTGATGGTAAAAAAAATGTATAATGAAATACATGTAAGTTTCATTTTATTCAGAAACCATTTGAGTGCCCATTAAGCACCAGATACTGTGATTCTAGGTGCTGGGAATTCAATAACAGACACTGTACAGTCTGGTCAGGGGAGAGAAATCTTAATTATTTATTCAAGCACATGGAAAATGGCAGTGGCAGTAAGCAACGTGAAGAAGAGAAACACCTGGCTCTGCGAGCCTATGAGAGAGAAATTTGACTTGATCAGGGTGGTCACTGAAGGCCTCCGAGAAGTAGTGCTTGCCCTAATATTTGAAGGGTAAATGGAAATTGAGAAAGCAAAAAAGTGAGGAAAGAGTGTTCCAGGAAGAAGGAATAGCATCTGCAAAGGCTCTCTGGCTTGCGGGAGCTTGGCAAATATGAGGAGCTTAAAGAAAGCCTGGGGGCTGGACAGCAGAGAGTGCAGGAGAGTATAGTATGAGGGAGGATATTAGCAAGACAGGCAGGGGTTCGAGCATGTAGGGGCTTGTGGGCTGGGTAAAGGACTTTAATCTAAAATCATTGTTGATAACAGCCCCAAATAGGAAACAATTTAATGTCTGTCAGTCAGTTTAAGTTACAGCACATTCATAAAACAGAAAACTACATAGCTATTAAGCATGATTCTCTCTATATTTTTTTATGAATGGCAAGAGTTCCTGATATATTAAGCAAAATAGACAAGATATAGAGCAGAATGATGATCCTGGGTTTTTTTGGTCAAACTATGTGCATAATAAGCCTGTCTGTCTAGCTAGACAAACAGTCTGGAAGTATATGTACTGAAATGTAAGAAGCAACTGCCTCAACTAGGTGAGATCATGATTTATTGTCTTTTTTTAATGGAATACCAATACCTAAAATTTTATATTAATGACTATGTATTATTTTTGTGATAATAAAAACATTAAAATAAGACAAAATTTCTTTTAAAAAGGATGTTTTGGGGCCGAGCCTGTGGCGCGCTTGGGAGAGTGCGGCGTTGGGAGCGCAGCAGCGCTCCCACCGCGGGTTTGGATCCTATATAGGGATGACCGGTGCGCTCACAGTGCTCACTGGCTGAGCGCGGTGCGGCCGGTCTCAAAAAGGACAAAAAAAAAAAGGATGTTTTGTAGGCAACATGGGAAGTATTAGACAAAAGATTAACTCAGGATATGTTTTTCCCTTTTTAATGAGTTGTAATCATATTTTATTTTATTAATTATAATCCAACAGGAATGCAGAAACAAATGGAACAGGATGGAGAGAGATTTGGCCAGGCTGCCTGGGCTACTGCAATTCCCAGATTAGAAAAACTCAAGCTAATGCTAGCTCGGGAGACTCTGCAACTCATGAGAGCCAAAGAGTTGTGTTTAAATAACAAAAGAAGCGAAATTCAGGGAAAGGTAAGACAAAGATAAATGTAACATATACACTTTTATTCTATTTTATTTCTTTTAAAAGATGACCAGTAAGGGGATCTTAACCCTTAACTTGGTGTTGTCAGCACCACGCTCACCCAGTGAGCCAACCGGCCATCGCTATATGGGATCCGAACCCGTGGCCTTGGTGTTGTCAGCACCACGCTCTCCCGTGAGCTAATCGGCCATCCCTATATAAGGATCCAAACCTGTGGCCTTGGTGTTATCAGCACCACACTCTCCCAGGTGAGCCACGGGCCAGCCCTTACACTTTTATTTTAGATAGCACTTTTCTTTCCAGGGATTGTTAAAGAGCTTCCTTTCTTCACTTACTCCAACACCATCTCCTAGTAGATAAGAACTTAGAGACTATGGAAGGTTGGCCATAAAATTTCCCTTTGGTCAAGATGTTTTTGGAGTATTATATTGTAGGATTCACTTTGTAATAACACTGAGCTCATTATTAAAGTGGGTAATATATGAGAGGTCTTCAAAAAGTTCACGGAAAGATTTGTATTATCTTTTTTTTTTCCTTTTTGTCTTTTTTCGTGACCGGCAACGGATCTCAACCCTCAGTGTCGCACCCGTACCAGACCGGGATCGCAACCCTCTGTGTTGCGTCCGCACCTTGCTCAGCCAGTGAGCGGCTGGTCTGTATGTGGGATCCGAACACTTGGCGGGAGCGCCGCCGCGCTCCCAAGCGGTACACTGTAGCAGTGCGCCACCAGGCTGGCCCTGTATTATCTTTTAATTCTATTTTCCCATGAATTTTTGGAAGTTCCCTTCTACTTTAAAATCAATCCAGCAGGGCCGGCCCGGTGGCGCACTGCTACAGTGCGCCGCTTGGGAGCGCGGCTGCACTACCGCCAAGGGTTCGGATCCCACATACCGACCGGTTCCCGCTCACTGGCTGAGCGAGGTGTGGGAGCAACACCGCGGGTTGCGATCCCGTTGCCGGTCCCGGTCCGGGCGCGACACTGAGGGTTGCGATCCGTTGCCGGACACGAGAAAAGAAAACAAAACAAAAAAAATCAATCCAGCAATGTTTTCAATACAATTTTAGAATAATTGAGAGGTGCTTCATCTTAGGATCATAGTCACTTAATTTTTTTCCTGTAATCTTATGACTGTAAGGCAGAAAACACTGTAAATACCTGTCTTAGTCAGCTCAGGCTGCTATAACAAAATGCCATAGATTGGGTGGCTTAAACAACAGACATTTACTTCTGACAGTTCTGGAGGCTGGGAAGTCCAAGATCAAGGTGCCTGCACATTTAGTGTCTGGTGAAGGCTTTCTTCCTGGATTGTACAGAGCCACCTTCTTGCTGTGTACTTACATGGACTTTCCTCAGTGTGTGTGCATGGAGAGAGACAAAGAAAGATCTCTCTTCTTACAAGGGCACTAATCCCATCACAAAGGTAACACCCTCTTGAGGTAACCTAATATCTCCAAAGGCCCCACCTCCAAATGCTATCACATTAGTGGTTAGAGCTTCAACATATGAATTTGGCAGTGGGGAAGTTGGACACAATACCTCATTGCTACTTATTTTTCTCAGAACCTAAATATTTTCATATGTTTCAAGGAGAGGAAAAGTATTTGTAACAAATGTTGAATAAGGCATTTTTGTCTAACTAGATGAAATGGAAAAGTGTTTCCTTTTTTTTTTTATATTTAGTACTGAGCAAGGAATAGGAAATAGCTAGAATGCTTCTAAAGTTTGCTTTTAATTTACTAATTATTTTAACTTCTTTTTTTTCCATGAAAACAAGATGGAAGATCTTCCAGAACAAGAAAAAAATATAGATGTTGTAGATGAATTAGAAATACAGTATTATGAAATTCAATTAGAACTGTATGAGGTTAAATTGGAGATAGTAAAAAATGAAGAAATACTTCTTATTACACAGTTGGACTCTATTAAAAGACTTATAAAAGGTAAAATTTATATATATGTATAGAGATTAGATTGTTTAAATTACACGTTTAAGGAAATAGAGAACATATTAATTACTTCTTGTAAATTGTCTATAATATCTACTGAAATTTCCTAAATAAAATTTTCCTTCAGTATTTTTTATTATTCAAATAATATAATCATTATTAAACACAAAGCAATACAGAGAAATAAAAATAATTACCCAGTCCCATCATCTAGAGATACTTAGTGGTAACAATTTGCTGTATAACTTTGTAGCCCTTTTTATATGTGGACATATATAAATATCAATTTTTTAAACCAAAATGATATATCCTGTTAAGTAACCTCTTTTTAATCTAATACATAATAACCATCTTTCCACTTCAGTAAGTAATAAAAACATCAAAATTTTAATGGCTACATAGTATTCCATTATATGGATATACCATAATTTCTAGTTTTTCACTATTTTGAACAGCATTATAGTAGAGAACTTTCCTTTATACATATATTTGTGAATAGGACAGATTATTCCTTGGGATATATTTCTAAAGATGGAATTATTGGGTCAAGGGCAATGCACATTTCACATTTTGATATATATCTGCTAAAACAACACTACAACAATCATTTGAGAAATATTTTTTCCTCACTCCTATATTGTTTTCTGATTTCTAAATTTCATACAACATAATGGCCTCCAGATAGGCTGTTCTATCATTAGAGTATGAGAGTATATGTTTTCATGACATTCTTTAAAATTTTTGCTTACTTGATAGAAAAAATGACATCTAATTTTTATTTATTTAATTACAAGTGATATTAAAACAATTTTATATGTTTACTGGCCATTTGTATTGATATGATCCCAAAACCATGCCAATATTTACTTACATTTTTCCTAGTATTTTTATGATTTTGTTTTTTGAAACATTTAACTCTTTTTTTTTTTTCCTTTTTGTCTTTTTTCGTGACCGGCAACGGATCGCAACCCTCAGTGTCGCGCCCGTACCGGACCGGGACCGGTAACGGGATCGCAAACCTCGGTGTTGCTCCCGCACCTCGCTCAGCCAGTGAGTGGCTGGTCCGCATGTGGGATCCGAACCCTCGGCGGGAGCGCCGCCACGCTTCCCAAGCGGCGCACTGCAGCAGTGCGCCACCGGGCCGGCCCCCCAAAATTTAACTCTTTAATCCAGGTGAAATTTGTTTGTTTGTTTGTTTGTTTATTTATTTAATTTATTTTCCTTTTTGAGACCGGCCGCACTGCGCTCAGCCAGTGAGCGCTGTGAGCGCACCGGTCATCCCTATATAGGATCCAAACCTGCAGTGGGAGCGCTGCTGTGCTCCCAGCACCGCACTCTCCTGAGTGCGCCATGGGCTCGGCCCCGTTTATTTATTTTTTGGTGGCTGGCCAGTATGGGGACCTGAAACTGTGACTTCTTTGTTACCAGCATCACACTCTAAGCAAGTGAGCTATCTGCCATCTGAAATTTATTTTGATTGTGGTAGGAATCTAACTTTTTTCCCCAAATTGTTAGCAGTCCCAATCACTGATTTTAAAAACATTTTTCCCTGTTGCTTTCACTGGCTAGCTGTGTGACATCCAGAATCATTAGATTGACTCTGATCTATTCCTGAGTTGTTGTTCTCCTCCACTGATTTGTGAGTGGTCTCTGGTGCTGGCTTCAGAGGACTGTTACTATCCCTGTACCTTGGAAGCACGTTTTAGTATTTGGTAAAGCAAGCATTCCCCTGATTACTCTACTTCTCCACAAGTTTTCTGACTATTCTCACTCCTTTATTCTTCCAGATGAACTTTAGAATCACTTTGACAAGTTCAAACAAACAAAAAATTCCTTGGAATTTTGATTGGGATTGTGCTTAAAATTAAAGATTACTTTGGGGAGAATTGTCATCTTTGCAATTTTGAATCTTCCCACCCAAGAACATGGTATGTCTCTCCATTTATTTAAATCTTTTTTTTTTCCTAAAGTTCCTCCAAGTTTAATAATTTTCTTCATATAGATCCTGAACATTTAGTTTCATCCTAGGTATTCAGAAATTTTTGCAATAGTTTCAGGTTATAAGCATTTTACATATTTAGGAAAAAATTCTATTAAAAAAAAGTTTAGATGCCAAAGATTTGTAAATTGGAGTTGATATCCAGTAAAAAATAAGATTATTGGAAAAAAAATAAAAGTTAATCTGGAAAGATGCATGCCAAATTATTCATAATGTTTTCCTTCTGAGAATGAGATTCAGAAGGTTGAGGGAAGAAAGAAGAAAATTTCACTTTTTATTTCATGCATTTCTGTAGGATCTGAATTTGTTACAATAAGCATATAAATTTTAAACTATCAATATGTAAACAATATTAAATATCATTAAGGCACCTTAATGATGTACTCCTGGTAGAATATAAATTGCCTTTCTGGAGAGCAATTTGGCAATAGGTGTCAAGAGCCTTAAATATTCATCTGCTAAGGAAGTAATAAAAAATGTGTACAAAGATTTATGTACAGAAATGTTCATCATGATGAAATGGATAGTAATGAAATATTGGAATATTCTAACAACTCAGAATGCTTAAATTTTTTTTTTTCCTTTTTGTCTTTTTTTTTACTGACCGGTAACGGGATCGCAACCCTCGGTGTCGCGCCCGTACCGGGGACTGGCAACGGGATCGCAACCCTCGGTGTTGCGCCCGCACCACGCTCAGCCAGTGAGCGGGAACCGGTCTCCACATGGGATCTGAACCCTCGGCGGGAGCGCCGCTGCACTCCCAAGCGGCGCACTCTCCAGTGCGCCACCGGGCCGGCCCAAGAGAATGCTTAAATTAACAAATACTATGTTGCCATTAAAATTATATTTCCATCACATGGAAAATGTTCTTATTACTCTGTTGATAAGTGTAGCTATATAAGTAGTATATATGTGTGTGTGTTTATACATACACACATATATACCTATACACATATATACACACACACATAAATGTTAATAGTAGTTCTCCGTGGATGGTAAGATTACAAGTGATCTTTACTTTCCTTATATTTAAAAAATTTTATGCATTGTTTTTTATAATATATCATATTTTTAAAAAATCATTAATACATTTTTAGAGAAACGTGATGAAGTTGTCTATTATGATCCATGTGAAAGTCCAGAGGAACTTAAAGTCATTGATCATGTGGTGGGGCTGCAGGACACTAAGAATTTGGAGGTGAAAGAACTCAGCCAGCAGTGCCAGCGGCTGGAGTCTAAACGAGGCAGGATCTGTGCCAGAAGAGCCTATCTCAGGAACAGAAAGGTGCGTTCGCCTGGGGCAGCTTTCTTTTCTATCCTCTTCCAGGGATTTCTTCTTTTTTGAAAGATAAATAGGTATTGAAAATAAGGTTTTTACCAACACAGTGATTAATTTTTTGTGTGTGTATGTAGATATCAGTGGCTACAATTAAAATATATTTTAAACATTCCTAAAAAGATTATTTGGGGGGCTGACCAGTTAGCTCAGTTGGTTAGAGTGTGGTGGTGTAACACCAAGGTCAAGGGTTCAGTCCCCATACCAGCCAGCTGCCAAAAATTTTTAAAAAAAGATTTTTTGTTTCTTTTGGGATTTAAGAATTTACTATAATGTCTAGATTTTAATTAATTCATTCAACAACTATTTGTTGAGTGCTCATTGCATACACAGGTGCTTTAAAAATCACAATAGGTAGAAACTCTATTTCTAATAATCAACTATAGAAAATTATAAAATCTATTTTATTGTAAATTGCTGATTACAAAAAATGAATCATAGATATAATGTGCAGCTCATTTGAGACTCTATATTTGCTGAATTTTTTTTTTTAATTTCTTTTTTTTTTTTTTTTCCTTTTTTTGTCTTTTTTACTGACCGGTAATGGGATCGCAACCCTCAGTGTCGTGCCCGTACCGGGGACCGGCAACGGGATCGCAACCCTCGGTGTTGCGCCCGCACTGTGCTCAGCCAGTGAGCAGGAACCAGTCTCCACATGGGATCCGAACGCTCGGCGGGAGCACCGCCGCACTCCCAAGTGGTGCACTCTCCAGTGCGCCACCGGGCTGGCCCCCTTTTTTTTAATTTCTAAAATTTCCATGATTACATAAAAAGGTAACACACTAAGAAATTTAATTTTTTCCAACAGAAAGCTCTTATATTTCATTTTAATCCAGATTTTATATGTATTTACTCACGTACATTACACTTCTAATTGGAATTAGGAAAACATGAAAATTGTGACTTCTTTTGTAGCTTACAAAATGTTTATTATTCTGTCATGCACATATAAATACTTTTTAAAAACTCTGTTAAAAGAATATATTCTTTGCATTTCTGTGTTTAAGAATTGTAGCTTCTGGATTTAGGAACTGTTCTTTAGATGATCTGGAGATACACAGGCATTTGCCCTTTGCTCCACATTTCAGAAAACCCATGAGTGCAGGGAGAAGTGTCCTTTGGCACTCCCACAGGACTGTAGAACTGTGCCCAGATGAAGAGATGCCTGCACCTCCTTGGCAATATAGCTGTGACTTCTCTTATCCAGTCTTGGAGCATTAACTTTCACCCTGCCCCAGTCAGGGGAGCTCTTGCCACTGAGTTCTGGAAATGCTGGAATTTGGAAGGCACTGGGTTAATGGAATGGTAGGTCAGGCTCTAGTGTACAACTTGCGTTGAAACCACAGGTTGGCCACTTGGTAACCATGTGACCTTAGGCAAATAACTTAAATTTCTTTTGAGCTCAGTTTTCTCATCTAAGAAGATAATATTAATAATATAAATCTCATGGTTATTATAAGGATAAAATGACATAAGGCATGCAAAGTGCTTGGCATTGAGGCTGGGACCTAAAACATACTCAGTAAATGTTAGTATTATCATAATATTATTTTCCACATATATTAAAGATAGTGAGTGGTTAAGCATAGGTGAAATATAGTGAACAATTTTTCAGGTATCTGTAGATTGGCTATATTTTGTATGTATTTTTGGGAATGTAATTGGTATTTATAACATTATGGGGAAATGTGTTTTAAACAAGCATATTAAAACAGATTGTTAGGACTAATCCCATTTAAGAATGGGGGACTGCCTGTGTGTCCTCTTGTGATTCATCTCTCAAAGAAATCTGCTAGAAACAAATTATTCCTATAAGCAGCCAGTCAACCCTTATCATGTGATTATGGAGGAGGAAGTACCACTGAGACACACCAGAAGCTAATATTAATGAATGCCTTACCCTACAGCCCCAATACAATGCTTTTAACTTTTTACGCTATACCATGGTAATATTAAGAACCACGTAAGTGATGTATATTATTCCACCAGGATCAATGCAAAGAAAATCATCGGCTCAGATTACAACAGGCTAAAGAAAGTATAAGATATTTTCATCAGCATCATAGTATTCAGATGGTGAGTAGCTGAAGGAAAATGTTTTATATTTGCGTAATGTGACACACTGTCCTAAACTTGGGGAAATTGGAGCTCCTCTGCCCTGGACCTGCAGCTGACAGCCTCCCTCCTCCAGTCCTGCAGGCGGCCTGGGAGCAGATGTGGGGGGTAGGATGATAATGTTGGGTTACAGCCCCTTTGTCAAGACATATTTGATTGTAATTTTGAGCAATTTACAAAAATATGTTTGTTTAAATGTAGAAAAGAGATAAGATAAAAGAAGAGGAGCAAAAGAAGAAAGAATGGATAAACCAAGAGCGCCAGAAAACGCTCCAACGATTGAGAGCATTTAAAGAGGTAAGTTCTGGAAATAATCACCTCACCTACATTTTCTAGGGAAATAAATGAAGATCCTAAGAGATAAATTTAAAGTATTATGAACAGATAATTCAGAATATAAAACATTTCAAAAATACCATTGTTTGTGGTAAATCAATAAAAAACAAAAAAGTTAGAATATCAGTATGTTTCAGAAACCACGACGTAACACAGCTGTGTCTCTGACATCACGGCACACTTGGGTTCCTGCTCTCCTGTCCTCACTGAACAGTGCTAACTGTGCCCGCTGTGGTTTAGATGACAGAGAAAACGGAAAATAGTTCAACTACCCTTGACTTTAGCTGGCTTTCCCCCTCATTTGTAATTCTTTAAAATGCCGTCAAAGAAGCATTGTGACATAAATGTAGTGAAAGTGCTTTGTTGAAAGTACACAGGTTTTTTTAAAACAGTAAATAGGGACTTATTTAATAATATCATTGGACTTACTGACTATAAAACATAGACCTGCTCTCACCCCCCCGCCCCCATTTCATACAGACTCAAGTTTATTGTTGCCTCCCAAAGAAAAATAACCCACTCCATCCCAGACAAGATTCTGGGATAGGTATTGCAGGGATGCTGTATGATACCAACAACAAAAGTCGGGGTGCCGCTGGAGTGATAAATCATAACATACCAACTTCATCTTGTTTTCTGATACACTTATCAGTGTCATAGTGTACTCTGACCAGTAACAGTGGCTGTTATTGGGTGCCTTCTGTATACTAGGCACTTGTAATAGGTGCTTTACATTCACTCGTGTTTAATTATTAAAACAACCTTGTGATATTATCATCACCACTTTACAGATGAATAAGTAACCAAGGCTCAGAGTGGTGACACAACTTAACTCACGGTTAAACACAGCAGGAATTATAGCCAGGTCTCTCTTACCCCAGAGCCACAACAGGGGCCCAACCTGGGCAGCACATCAGAATCACCTGGGGAGTTTCTGCTAAGTACTAATGCCCAGCCCCACCCCAGGGATTGATTTACTTGGACTGGATCAGGCCTGGGCATGAATCGCAGTGGGAAGAATGAATTGAAGGAGAGCTATGTGAATACCAGATGAATATAGAGCCACTGAGGTGGAGAGTGACTGGTGGGTTGCTGTCACCAAGAGAGTGTTGATTAGTGGAATGAAATCAGCATGGAGGAAGGGATCTGAGGGCAGCTTCAAGTCTGTCTCCTTCCTCTCACTCAGATCGGTGAATTGGCTGGCAATATAGATCAACTTTTCAAATATGGATGGTATGAACATGGGAGGGGTAGACAGAGGTAAGAGACAGAATCAGGCCTCCTAAGCTCCCAGCAAACTGGAACAATGAGTCAAAATCTAACAAGTTGACCTAAAATGGAGATAAAAGACAGGTTTTTAAAGTCCAAAAAAATCCCATTATGGAGATGTACACTTGCACCTAGTGGTGACAGGGAAGAGTCTTTGTGGCTCAAATTCAGGGGGAAAGAACCTTGAGAATTTAGTTTCCTTCAGCTTCACCTGTGATGAAAACTCATGGGTTTTTGGAACGTATGATCAGAAGCACCCTCTGTAGAATGAGGGAATTCTGTGTTTACCAAGAAGTGCCACCACTGAAGGGGACAAAGCCAATTTGAGCACAGCTGGAAGGGAGTAAGTAGGAAAGGGAGAAAATAAGAAATAAAATCATGTGACACATGATACATATTGAGATTAGATTAGCTGTTTTTTAAGTACAAGGGCTTTCATAAGATAAAGCACTTAATTTGTCCCGGGCAGACAGACTGCCCAGCAATTTAGGGCAGAACGTAAGCCAGAGTCACAGCAACATGCTCCTGCCTCCAGGATGCCAAGGAGGGGGTCCCCAGCATCAGGAGACAGTTGGATGACCACTGGCGTTGAGTCCTCTGGCCCAGAGTTTCTGGGATTCTCATTCCACTGGCATGCTCTGTGACAGAAAGCTGCACATGACAGCGGCATGACTTGTGTCTGCATCATTGAGGTTTGGGGCTTGTTGCCATTACTTTGCTATTTGACCTGAAAGTGGAATAATATGAAGGAGATAGAACTGCATGATGTGGGTATGTTTTAAGCTTACATTAATGGTATCATATTGAATGCATCCTTTGCCAGTTTCTTCAACTTGAATTATGTTTTTGAGATATATTCATATAAATATATGTAGATCTAGATCATTTTAATGGCTTCATAGTATTACATTTTATGTTTTGATGGCTAATCAGTGCCTTCTTTAGGGACCCCTCCTCCTCCAAGATTAGTTCTTTGTAGGGTTAGGTTTTTCTTTATCCAGCTAATACCTGAGAGGCCAGGTAACTTTTTAAACTTACATTTTTTAATTATGAAACTTACTCTAAGCCTAAAAGTTAGAGAAAAGAAATGTCCACAGTCCCTGTTACACCTGTCACTTTGTCTACTCTGCTGGTATTTCTCATAGACCTGTTTTTTTACGTTTATAATCATAATACATATTATTTTGTATTCTGCTGTTTTAACATTTTATCATCTAATTTTTTTCAGATGTTTCAGACTTTGTACTATTTATGATATTTCATGGCTGCTTAATATTTTGAATACATTTGCCACAATTTTTTCAACTGACTTCCTATTGTTGGTATTTAGTTTCTGATTTTTCATCTAAAAATATGAATATTTTCATCTGTATGTGTCCTTTCATATCTTCATTTTATTACAGAAAAAATACTTGATCAAAGGATAAAAATGTTTATTTTTTTAACACATGAAAAATGGATTTAGTAGCAAGGACGGCTGTACAAATGAAAAGGAGTCACTTTGTGAATTAGAACCATCTGTGCATAGAAACGCATCAGTGTTGATTTATAGATTTATTTATAGAAAGTTTCAGCATTTCAGTGGTTTGCATTTGTGGCAAATTCCTCACAACAGTTTTTCATTTGCAGAAATGTCCAGCTCGGTCTGCACTCAAAAACTCTTGCTTGAGACCTGTGGCTCCAAACCTGCCAGGGGGCTGTCCCCAGCAGATGTCCTCACCAGCCTCTAAGCCACTGTCAGCAATTCACCTGCCCTCCAGGAAAACCAGAGGTGCTCCCTTATGTGAAGTTAGTAATGTGAAAACCCCGGAGTGTCAAGACTGTCTTGGAAATATCCCTGTCCAGATTTTTGTTCCAGTTGGTGACCAAACGCATTTCAAATCCAGTGAGGAATTGTCACTGCTACCACCACCATCACTACCTCCTCCTCCTCCTCCACCCCCACCGCCCCCTCTCCCTGCTCTGTCCTTGTCTTCTCAAGCTGCAGCTCATTGGAACTTAAGCTTCAGGACTTCAGGAAAAGATGATCAGCCACTTCCTCTAGTGTGTGAATCACCTGCTGAAAAACCACATGATCCCCTGGAAAGTTTTCAATGCCCAGGTAATCCATTGGAATTCTGTTCCTGCTCCCCTTGGGTTATTTAAGCTGTTGAAACATTCTAGCTTTAGAAGCCATCAACTTCAAATTAAAATATTTTTCAGAATACTCCATAATCTTGAAATATTCCAGTATTTATTGCCCCATTACTCTTTTATTGCAAAGTTAGCATAGCCTAACTCTGAGTTTGATAAACACTAACTTAGCTTGATGAAACCATCTTTATACATTTAATGATCACATGATTTGGGATTTCTGAGGCTGTTAAACTACCAACCTATTTCAAGGTTCTTAAGACTATAGTACGTATTTGATTTCTACCACGAATATTTTTCAATAGTGCTTTATTTACTGTTGCATCTCTGAGTCCTTTATAAAATTGTTGCACTTTAGGCAGAAATTAAAATTGGAAATTATTGTAGAAGGATATTAACCAGAATGTAGAAGGCTGTTCTTGTGGTCTGACCAGTAGACTGAGAAACTTTACTGTTGGAAATCTTTCTAAAATGTAGTGGGTCAAAAAAAAAAAGTGGGCCACTTTTTCTCTTGGCAAGTACAGTACACTGAACACACTTGAATATTTCTTTTTTTAATGAGGGCTATAGTTCTCACTTATAATTCTAATTATGGCATTGACAATTGAGGAGACTGGCCTAAACCTGCCCCGACTTGAAGCCTACTGCTTTGGAGTGTTTTTATTTTTTATTTTTTTCCTTTTTGTCTTTTTTTGTGTCCGGCAACGGATCGCAACCCTCAGTGTCGCGCCCGTACCGGACCAGGACCGGCAACGGGATCGCAACCCTCAGTGCTCCGCCTGCACCTCGCTCAGCCAGTGAGCGGGAACCGGTCTGTATGTGGGATCCGAACCCTCAGCGGGAGCGCCGCCGCGCTCCCAAGTGGCACACTGTAGCAGTGCGCACCAGGCCGGCCCTGGAGTGTTTTTAAAGATAAATCCTAGCAAAATGCTATGTAAATTTGTTTTTAAAAATATGCTTGAGCACCTCCAGCTAGAAAATGTAAGGTTACTGTAAGAGGTGATATGAATGATATAACAGTTCCAAAGTGTGATTCTGGTTGTCCCAGTTCAGGGTTCACTGTACCTAGAACCAGGTACAAATGAGAACGCCCACACTATAAGGTAGAGACCACATGGCCTACTTCTGTGGGGTTTGCAGCAACTTCTCATGGATGAAAAGTGGAAGTTCGCATCCTGTGCCTAGAATGGACCCAGGATGTGAGCAGACCATTGTGGGGTGCCCATTCCCAGCCCAGATTTAATGCACACAATTTGAGAAGCTCTATGCAACTCACAAACACTGCTTCAATTCACTGAAAAGAATAAGGAAAGTGTGAATGTGCACCAGGAAATGCTCTTGTTTGTGAAACTTGTCTTATTACTCCCAGAAGGGAATGTAATAACAAATTATAGGTTTAAATCCAAAGTGAAATAGCCTTTTGTTAGCCATATCTTGGCCTTTCAATCCCAAACTAGAATGATTATTGTCTTGCTGCCTTACCTGGAAGATCTCTAAATTAGTGGCCACAATCATGCCATTGTCTCTGATAAACAGATTTTATCCCCACAGGGATCTCAAGGTCCCAGAGTGAAAAATAGCTTCTCCTCATCAACGCCTTGAAACTGATCTAATTTGTGTTTTGACAGCACTTCACACCCTCAAAAGTAGAGTATGTGAGCCACCTCAGGGTAATGGAGGTGGAATTAAACACAACTGTATATGGAAAAGGTGCCAGTGCCACCCCTCCTGGTTCATTAAGCTACCGATTAAAATTTTACTTTAAGCCTTTTCATGTGTGGAAACCTACTCACTTTATTGTCATAGAATGAGTCATCACTGACTAATCTCCACGACTGAAGTCAGAGAAATACAGCGGGACAAATTATTTATTTTTAAAAATGTATATATATTTTTAAGTGGGAAGGGAAATGGAGGAAATACAATTTCAGAGATATCTAAGTCGTGCACAGTAGGCCAGATTATTTCCACCCCAGGCATCTTTAACTCTCTTCAGGATCACAGGAAAAGATTACATCTGCCTTGAAAAGGTAATTCCAACAAAAGCTGTGCCTGTTAGTTGCCACAGATTTGAAGAAATTAGTGGAAAGTAAGTGGCCAAGATGAAATATTAGCTATTAAATTGTCCTGGACTCAGACAAGGAGTTTATCATCGACCTGCCCAGCAGACAAAGCATTCGTTTAATGGGATGATGATTATTAGCTTAACTCATGGCGTTACTGATATGTGATTTAACAGTCATAGTACAATCATACAATAATATTCAATAATATTCTGGCAGCCTGGGGAGAAAGAATGTGTTTTCTTTACAGTACCTGCTCTGTTTACTCAGTTTCAGGCTCTATGGATGCGGTGCTGGCCTCCTTAAGGCAGAACAAAACCCCTCTCCGGAAGGTGGACGTGCCTGCAGTGCCCGCTCCCCACGTCTCAGTCAGTGAGCACATTCTGGCCGCCATAAGGCAAGGGGTCAAGCTGAAGAAAGTTCACCCAGACTTTGGCCCGAGCCCCAGCAGCAAGCCAGCCAGTGACCTTGAGAGGAGCATCAAGGCAGCGCTCCAGAGAATCAAGAGAGTGTCTGCTGACTCAGAGGACAGTGATGAGCACAGCCCTGGCGAGTGGGACCACTAAGCTCTTCTCCGGGTTTGACTAAGGCACCGCCGCAGCGCGCGTGAATGAAGCAAGGTGGGCCAAGGCCTTTTCCTGAAAAGCTCGTGAGCACGGGGTGCTGCTGCTTTCAGTTGACGTTGTGGCTCTTAAAACTGGGGAAGGAAGCAGAGAAGTGGCGACTCACACACTGACCCACAGCTGAGAGAGAAAACGCACGGCAAGTGTCGCCGGCATCAGGGAAGAGCATGTATGTTTCACAAGTGGTAACCTAGACTCATTCCCTGATGCTGGAGGACGTTTACTTTGGCATACTCCACTACTCACATGTCCTCCTGTGTGTAGGGATTAGTGGTTTCTCACATTTAAAGATTTCAATGTGAACGTCATTTTAGCAATAATCAGAATAAATTGCTGATATTTAGAAATTATTTTAGATATTTAAATGAAGTTTATGTATCAAGCACTACATAAACTCATAATAAATAATTATTTATAATGCATCAGTGTCATTCATGAGAAGAAGAAAACATAACTGCTGTAAAAGCAAACCCTTTCCCTCCTGGGTGGGTTTAAAGTTTTTAATAAGCTTTCAGCTAAACATTTGTTTAAGCAAATACTAAGGGTAGGGGGAGGAGTGTTGTTCCCCCTCGGGAACGAAATCTCATGCTGGCGTCTTTTCTCCTCCTTGCTTTGTGTTAAAATTAGGAAAGGGGAAGAGACCGATACAAAGTAGTCTGTTCATTTCTCAGACTATCCAAGTGTCCCACTGACCTCATCATCTTCTCTCATGACATCAATCCCGGGTTTCTATAGGACAGAGTGAATCCACCCTCCTTGTTTCCAAAGTAAAGTCCTGTTATAGACCCCAACTGAGGAGGGGTGTGGGTTCTTCAGCAGCTGCAGGCTGGACCTGCCTCCACAGTTTGACTGGAGACCCTTCCTGTGGCCCCTGCCAGGTTGCACACGGGCCTGTCATGTGTCCCACATTCTGGGAGCTCAGATCCAACTCCTGTGCACAAACATACCTCACTCTGCCAGCCTGGGCCTGAGGTCACTCTGGTGTCTGACAGACCGAGCCCTGACTGCACTGGCCCCTGTGCCTGCCGCTCCCTCAGATTCCAGGGCCATTCCCTCGGGAGATGCTCCCGCTGGCTCACTGAGCTTCAGTTCCAAATCCCAGAGGCAGGTCAGGTGGCTGTGCTCCAGGCCCCCTGCCTGCTCCACCACAGACTGGCCAACCTCAGCACCAAACTATTCCTCTGGAAAGAATTTGATATTTAAAAAATAGCAAAGTCAGAACTTTGTGGGATGTTATGCTAACTTTGCAGTTTGGTATTACTTTTGCTTTAATTATTGTAATTTCAGTATTTTGAAACAACAGTGAGCTTAATCAGGCTTGGATAATTCTCAGAATTTGCTTTCTAAGGACTGCCAAAGACAAGCAGCTTTCATAAAAAGGATCCTTTTCAAAAGAGAGTTCTCCTAATTAAAGTTCCTGGCCTAATTATGTCTTCTGTGCATCAAAACTTCTCCTTCTCTGGGCCTTTTCTCCCTCATTTCTTCCTTTCCCCCTCTTCCAGCCAAGCCCAGAAACAAATCTAGACTCTGGTTTCAGGGACTGCAGAGCCAAGGAGGGGGAGCTGTATGTCTTCCATTGTCTAGCTTCAAACCTCTCCTCTCCACCCTCCAAAGTGCTGCCAATAGTCTTCACCTCTCAAAGCTCTTCCCTGGCTTTGCAACCCACAAAGTAAGGGCCAGCCCCTCAGCATGGTAAACAAAACCCTCAGAGACCTGGCTGCTGTGCCGTGGGCAGTCCCTTCCCCTGCCACTGGTTTTGCTCCAGCAGCACTGAGCTGCTTGCTGCCTGCCCTCAAACAGCCCTGCTCTCTTTAGCATAAGTGCCTGGAATTGCCCTGGCTCTGCCACCATGTCCTGGCAAACCCACACCCATCCTGTGGGCTCAACCCTTTCTCCTTTCTGAATCTTCCCTGACCTCTCTTTCTCCTACATGACCACTACTCCTTGTCCTGGACACCAGTCATGCTGCCACCCCATCCACAGCCCCTGGCTACATGGGCAGCCGGGGGTGAGGGCATGTTTTATAGCCCAAGACTGGCTCTCTGGCCAAAGCTGGCACCTGATCCTAGGACAGTCCATCCATAACTGGCAGCATCCTATGGATTGTGCTGGAGTGAAAAACAATGATCTGGGCCAATCAGACCTACGTATTCATTTGGTCGTTCCTTCTCTCTCCAGAATTTGGATTGGGGAATCAAGCAGGCCATAGCAGGAGCTAGAACCAGGAGGTTTTTGATTAATGACCACACATCATGTGAAGCCATTTTGTCAAGTGGATTTGTACAGCAGAGGTTCTCAAACCTTAGACATGTAAACTTATGTGAAGAGTGCATTGTTTTTTTATTGCTGCCATAACGAATTATTCCAAACATCGTGGCTTAAAACAACACACATTTATTATCTTACAGTTCTGTAGGTCAGAAGTCTGACGTGGTTCTCACTGGGCTAAAATCAAGGTTTTGACAGGATTGCATTCTTTTCTGTAGGCTCTGGGGGAGAAGCTGTTTCCTTGCCTTTTCTGGTTTCTGGAGGTTGCCCTTGTTCCTTGGTTTTGGTCCCTTCATCCATTTTCTTTTTTTTTTTTTTTGTTTTTTTGTTCTTTTTGTCCATTTTTTTTTTTTGTGACCGGTAAGGGGATCGCAACCCTTGGCTTGGTGTTGCCCGCACTGCGCTCAGCCAGTGAGTGCACCGGCCATTCCTATATAGGATCTGAACCTGCGGCGGGAGTGCCGTTGCGCTCCCAGTGCTGCACTCTCCTGCGTGTGCCACGGGGTCAGCCCCCCTTCATCCATTTTCGAAGCCAGCGTACTTTTTCTTTTTTCTCTCTCTGACCTTTCTTCCATCATCACCTCTCTTTCTGACCTCAGCCAGGACAAGTTCTCTGCTTTTTTTTTTTTTTTTTTTTTTTTTTTAAAGATGACCGGTAAGGGGATCTTAACCCTTGACTTGGTGTTGTCAGCACCACACTCTACCGAGTGAGCCACGGGAGGCCCAAGTTCTCTGCTTTTAAGAACTCATGTAATTAGATTGGACCCACCCAGGTAATACAGGATAATCTCCCCATCTGAAGGTCCCTTATGCCATGTACAATAACACAGTCACAGGTTCCAGGGATTAGGATGTGGATATCTTTGGAGACCATTATTCTCTCTAGTATAAGAAGCTTTCTAGAATGCAGATCATAAAATTCCTAATCCAGGAGGTTTTTCTGGAATAGGCTGGCTACCTAAATAGCTCTGAAGCACCTAGTCTGCAGACGATCCTTAGGAAAACACTGATACACAGAAGTCAGAAGGGACTTGGTGGGCTGGTGACATGAGAGGAGTGAAGCATGCATTCTTAGAATCTCTGCAGTTTCCTCCCAAGGTCAGCAACCCTGAAGCCTGATGTCTCATGGGGTCTTCAGGGGGGTGGTGGCGGCGGGGGTGTTGTGGCATCTCTGGAGAAGCTGGGTGTGCTCTGGCCCATGTTCTTGGACACCTGTGAGAGCTGTGTCTTGAAAGGGAGCCCCACAAGTCCCCCATCAGCTGAGTTCCATTAACACCTACAATACATCATCTAACCTCTCCACAGGAGTGTAATTGATTTATGTAAGGTAGGTGAGTCTTTTCACCTTTATTTTCCAGGGCCTGGGGCGTAAAGGTGCTTAATAAATATTTGTTAAATGAACACGTGAATGAATGACTTAAGAGCTGTACATATAAAAAGAAGTATGCAAGAGGCAGGAGAAGCCCCTTGGGAGTGGCTGATTTTCATCCAGATGCAAGACCTTTGACCTGGGCCTAAGAAGAGAAACAGTGTTGGAGCAGGGAAAGGATTCCAGGCAGTGGGAACAGCATGAGCGAGAACAGCACAGATAAGGCCACACCAAGGCATGGGCAGGATGAGGTAGGAGCCAGTGTGACCGCATCAGGGGAGGGAGCCAGTGGGAGACGCGGCTAGAGCCTGATCTGCCCCACGCTCTAGCAGCTTCGCAGAAGAGGAACCAGAAGATGGAGGACACCCCGCAGTGAGGGGACCAGGAATAGTGCTGGGGTGGTCTGGTGAGAGTAGTAGTGGTTCAGGGAAGAGATGGGGATGAGGAGAGGGAGAAGCACAAGACTGTAGCTCACTGTGCAGGAAGCAGGGGAAAGGGCTCAGAGACAGGGCCAGCACTCGCAGGTGCAGAGGGGCCACTGTCAGGGACGGTGTGGGCAGGGGCGGCATGGGAGGAAGAAGAGTTGGTTTGTACACGTGTGTGAGGTGCTGGTTCTGGGTACAAGGTGGAGACTGGACAAGGTGGGGCAGGGCAGCCCTCCAGCAGCTGGTACACATGTGAGGGGGACGTCCTGGGCACAGGCAGTTGTTGATGAGTCAGCTGTGGAGGCCGTGGAGCTGCCGGGGGAGACCACTGAAGGAAGACAGTCCAGGCCAGAGCCTTGGAGACCCTGACACAAACAGAGCAGGAGTGGGAGGGTAAGGAGAAGGAACACTCAGAGAGGCGTGACAAGAACTGAGAAGGAGAACTTCACAGTCACGGGAGGATTATTTCAAAAAAGGAGGATTATTTCAACTTTGCCAAGTGCCCTGGGGGAATCAAAGATGGGACCTGATTTGGTGTAAGGGGGTCCTGTCTGGGAGGTGGTTCATGCGATGGTCAGGGTCAAAGCTTCCCAAAATGAGCAGTGAGAGCCTATGGACTGTGACCATTAGCAAAACAAGATGGGTGGCGGCCACCTCTGGGTGGTGAGGTCTGGTATCCTGTGCAAACATGCACCTGACTTATCTAGCAGTCCCTTCAAGTTAAATGGCCCCCACCGAAGGCTTTGCTGCCCCCACACAAGGGATGGCTGCATAGAGGGCTGAGGCTGTTGGGTGAGGGTGGCCTCATGGGGATTTCTGCAGCATGGAACACCTGAGTCATTCCTGTATCCCCAGGCATGAGGCACGGGTACTGGAGAGTGAGCAAGGCAGGGGGAGGCTCGGATGTGGGTCCCCTCCCCTAACGCCTTGGAATATGTAGACCTTCCCAGAAACTTCAAGCACTAACCTCTGGAGAAAAGGGGGTCCCAGAATTGACTGAGATCAAATTGCATGAGCCTGGTGGAACAGGGGCTCAAAAACAGAAATTAACTTGAATGCAGGAAAAACAGAGAAAGGTCATATTTCACTCCTGAGCTGAGGGCTGGGATTCACACCTCCTACACATCTTTGGGAAAAGTTGCTTCGGTGCCTGGCACAGACTTTGCCATGTGAATAGCCTGTTCAAACAGCTCTAGAAAAATCTCATCTGGTAGGATGAGTCTCTGAGATTAGCTTTTTCCCCACCAGCCAGGCACACCAGAATTCATTCCCTGCTGCCTTCTACTCACGAGGCTTCCTTCTGCAGAAGGAAAGTGCCTCTTGGGTTAGGAAAAGCTTTAATGTGGGATCCATTGAGG